CCTGAACCCTGAACCCTGAACCCTGAACCCCGAACCCCGAACCCCGAACCCTGAACGCCGAACGCCGAACCTCAAACCCTAAACCCCGAACCCCGAACCCCAAATCCCAAACCCCGAACCCCAAACCCCAAACCCTAAACCCTAAGAATGAGTAAAAGGCATTTTTTGAGAAATCGGCTCGCTCAAACAGTCTTACGGTAGTTTGGCTGCGTAGGTATCGAAAAAATACGTAGGTGCAAAAAAAAATCGCCTAAAACAGGCAACCGAATCCCGAGTTATGGTCGTTTGAGTTTCCTTTTTTCCCTGATACCTTCAGTCTTTAAGATGCTGAATTTTCGAATTATCGTAACTTTCGACTCGAACGTCCTTTTGACGCAATTTTTTTTTGATTCCCCATATTTTTTTGATATCTATTCGAAAACTCATTCGCTTCGTTTGAATTTCCATTTAATTTTTTCATCACATTTCTACACGAATAAAAATGAGCAAAACGCGTTTTCTGAAAAATCGGATTGCTCAAACCGCCTCACGACATTTGGGAAGCGTAAATATCGAAAAAATACGTAGGTTAAAAAAAAAATCGCCCGAACCGGGCAAACGAAGCCCGAGTTATGGCCGTTTGAATTTCCTTTTTATTTTCTCATCTTCTTTCTACTTACCTAAGAATGAGTAAAAGACATTTTTTGAGAAATCGGCTCGCTCAAACCGCCTTACGGCAGTTTGGTTGCGTAGATATCGAAAAAATACGCAGGTTCAAAAAAAAAATCGACTGAAACGGACATCCGAAGCCCGAGTTATGGCCGTCTGAAATTTCCTAAATTCGCGGCTACCTTCAATCTTTAAGAATTTTTTTCGAATGCTCGTAACTTGCGAATCGAACGTCGTTTCGGCGCAATTCTTTTTTTGATTCCTCGTATTTTTGCGAGATCTATTTGAAAAACTCATCCCCCCTCATTGAATTTCCTTTTTACTTTTTCGTCATATTTCAATGAGTAAAAGGCGTTTCTCGAAAAATCGGCGCGCTCGA